ATATATATATATATATATATATATATATATATATATATATATATATATATATATATATATATATATATATATATATATATATATGAAAGTTCCTGGAGGGCTAAAATTGCCAAAGGTTTATAGTTCAGAACCTCGAGAGATGTTTTCCATAAAATTAGAAAAGTCACTATATGAACTAAAACACTCTGGCAGAATGTGGTATAATCGTGTCAGTGAATATCTGCTCAGAGAAGGATACAAAAATGATCTAATTAGTCCATGTGCTTTCATCCGTAGATCTAAATCAGGCTTTGCCATAATTGTAGTATATGTTGATGATTTATACATCATTGGAACTTCTGATGAAATTAGAAAACACTGCAAAATATCTCATGAAAGAATTTGAGATGAAAGATCTTGGGAGAACAAAATTTTATCTTGGTCTTCAAATTGACCATTTGAAAGACAGAATATTCATCCACCAGTCAAATTACACGAAGAAGGTTCTTAAGCGGTTTTATATGGATAAAGCACATCCTCTCACATCCCCGATGGTTGTCCGCTCTGTCAATGTACATGATGATCCGTTCCGACCTCGTGAAGATGATGAAGAAATACTCGGTCCAGAAATACCATACTTGAGTGCTGTTGGAGCTTTGATGTATCTAGCAAACAACACTCGACCAGATATTGCATTCTCAGTGAACTTGTTAGCCAGACACAGCTCGACCCCAACTAGGAGGCATTGGAATGGCATTAAACACATTTTGCGATATCTTAATGGTACCATCGACCTTGGTTTATTCTACCGCAAAGATGCCAAGGCCACTCTTGTTGAATACGCTGATGTAGGATATTTGTCTGATCTGCAAAAAGCAAAATCTCAAACAGGATATGTGTTTACTTATGGAGATACTGCAATATCATGGAGATCGATGAAGCAAACTTTGACTGCCACATAATCAAATCACGCGGAGTTGATAGCTCTCTACTAAATAGGTAGAGAATGTGTATGGTTGCGATCAATGATCCAACATATCCAGAGCAGATGAACTATACTCTTTTTCCCTTGATCAGGTTTTATCCCACTGGGTTTTTCCTGATAAGGTTTTTAACGAGGCAGTACATAAAATTAGAATAGGTTACTAAACTATGCCCATTTGACGAAGTACCCATCACTAATTGAAAAATGAACATTCAAGAGGAAGTGTTATGAAATTAATGATTGTTCATTTATTCAATTAATCAAGCCTACTTTCTAGAATAGTAAATTAAGACACTAATTGATGAGTACTATTTTTGTACAGTCCTTCCCACTTGTATTTGTATTCATACCAAGCCTCTCCACTATAAATAGAGGCCTAATCTTAATTGTAATTAACATTAAGATTAAGAACAATAGAAATCAGAAACATATCTCTCTCTTATCTATGAGCATTTTCTCTCATTTCTTAACAATTATATATTTAATATTATTCCCGTCAAAAAATGGTACATGGGTGGGTGGGTGGTTTTTAAAAGAGATTGGTAGATAAATGGGTGGTTATAGAAGTGTTAGTGATTACAGTGGAGAAACGTGTCAGTGAAGTATTTCATATTTTGATCATAAGCAAGCAGTTCAAAAGTATACTCTCGTCCCTAAATATTTGTCACACTTTCCTTTTTCATCTGTCCCAAAAAATCACCACATTTCTAATAATGGATAGTAAATTGTCATGTTAAGACTATTATACCCTTGGTCATTTTACACGGCATACCCATCCTAATCCGATGCCTTGACATTTCCACCGCTGACTCTTCATCTTCTCCACCCTCTAATCTCGATCATCTTCTCCGCCACAATCTGAAATTCTTCTCCGCCACAATCTTCGTCTTCTCCACTCCCTAATCTTTGGGTAATCCAGATCTGCTGCTGTTCCCCTCCCTATGCACTTCATTTCATTATCAGGTAGTTTATGCCTCCTGTTGTTCTGCTGTTGTTCCTCTTCATTTTCGTGCACAGGTTCATTGGGATGCCCTTTATGCACTGCATGAGTAATCGATGTATTTGTCAGAGGTGTTAGTGGTGAAACACCCTCTGCTAAACGTCCCATCTCTCTGAATGTAGCTGTAGATCGAATGCTAAGGGCAGGAACTAAGGCGTCAAAAGAAGGATCGTCTCCACGTGAAGGCAGTGTCGGATCTTCGTTGAGATCAAAGTCATGGGCAGTCACAGGGGGGAGATTGAGGTCAAAGAGATGAAGTGTTGATGAAGAGGGATTTGAAGATATGTGATAACTCGGGTTTGGGTTAATATTTTTAATTCTCTTTTTGGCATTTTTAGTACTTTTATTGTTTAATTTTCATTTGTTTAGCTTAGTTTTATTTTAATTCCTATTATTACAAATCTTTTATTTCCATTCAAAAATAGTTGTTTTTAATCTTTTTTTTACATGTTATTATTTTAATATTTTTATTTTTCCTAACCCAAGTTACCAGATATCCTATTTGTTTTGGAATAAATNTGATTATATATTGGGGGTTAGCTAAGGATATTTATAAATTTTTAATTTGTTTTGGACCGCACGACAAGTCCCAACAATATGTAATCCATTTTTTGTTAAAATTAAGTGCAGTCATAAATAGCGTTCTTCAATGCACAAAACTCATTTATAGGCTCATTGGAGAGGGTGTACTTAAGGAAAAATGGGGGGGGGGGGGGAACAAATTTTATTTTTGGCTGTTTTCCCTCTCTAATTTTCGGCTATTTGAAATTTGTGGTGTGTATGATGATGATGTGTAGAGTAGTTGTAAGAATATGACATTGATTTGATGTTTACTTTAATTAATTACTCCCTTTCTCTCCCCCTTTTTTTGGGCTGCTATTTGTTTGGGACGGGTGGGTGGGGGTTATAATTGGAAAGAAATTTCTTTTTATTCACTTCCTAAAAGTGTGTGCAAGTCAAAGTGTTGGAAATAAATAGGGACAAAGGGAGTATTACTGCCCCACGATCCTACCCCCCTCTGATCCACTACTCCCTATATATATATCTGTGTGTGTGTGTCTTATAATCGGCCCGGTTCTAGTGACACCGGAGAACGGTGCCACTAGCGGTGCCACTGGGTTTTTGGGCACCTCCGGTGCTCCGTTCGTAAAATTGATGGTTCCTACCCCCCTAATCCACCCCCTAAACCCCCCACGCTACCCCCACCCCAACCCTGCCGTAACCCCCCACAAAATGTGTGGCTATTATGCAAGGTGTGAGGAACCTTCGTAATACCCCCAATTCAAACAAAAGCAACGAACGCTCTATTACAAACCAACTACAATGGCAAGTGAGCCGCGCCTGACCTCCAAGGTTGGAATCTGATCTCTCCTCAGGGAAGTCAGACTTTATGTGGGGTCTGAATGGGCACTTTGAATGCAAGCTGTGAGAGTTTAAGGTTGCCACAACATGAAAAAAGAAGGAAGCTTCCACCCATTCTGGTCCTTCCATGGACCAAAGATCCTGCTCCAAAGTGAGGACATACAATTTATGAGCATGATATAATAATTTCTTGAAGCATTAGCTATTTATACAAAAAGTTTGTAATTAGTGTTGATTAATAATGTTTATTTTGAATGTCTAAAGTAGTCAAACATGTTAACACACCCACTAGCAATTAATCAATTACTTTAATCACATATAACTTACCAACATAGTGTCAACTTAATTATTCCTATCACGGATCACCTTTACTTTTTTAGTAAAAGATGTTTCAACCAAGTGTCTTTTTCATCATATTCAGTTGTAGTTTCTCAATATTTTTAGTCAAGCGAACCTTTTATTTTAAATTAGTCAAGTAAAATTTAGCTATCCAAATGAGCTGCCCCCATCAGAATTCATCCTGAATTTTGAATCTGAGATTGTTTGTTTTTTTAAGAAAAATATGAGATTGTGTTTTAATATAGACTATAGCAGTTTACCGATGTTTCAAATTTCTAAAGATATAAGTAAATTTTGGTTTATTGTTTAACACATTTCCGTACGACTGAAATTCTCAAAAATATGATCAACTAATGCTACCATGGGAGTCATTATTATTAGAGTAGGTAATGCAACAAAAAGTTTAATCATCTCTAAAAAAAGAGTTCTGTTATTTTATAATTGTTTCCTTTGCAAAACACTTGAACATTATGATTTACAAAGAACACCATCATATATAGTTGAATACACAATTATTTGACTTCATATATGCATATATTTATACTTTCAAATTAGTGGTGTGATGCATTAAAATAATCCATAAAAGACATAGGGAGTTTAAAATTTACCTTTATCATGTTTGATGGGTGGAAATGACCTGAAATAAAAATATAGATGTAAAAATTTGAGCAAAAACAATAATTTCCAACATGAAATTAAATAATCTGATGGAAAAAAAGGGAGTACCAATTATACTATATATGGTAAAAAAATTAATAGCATTAAAAAAAATTACGTACTCTCTCCGTCCGATATAAAAAGTACTTCCTCTGTCCTAAAGTATTGATCCAGTTTGTCTTTTTTGAATCAAATTGGACAAATTTTAATTATCAATTACTCTCAATTTGTATTACGGAGTACATATTAATATAATGGATTGTTACAATCAATCAAGAGCCTTGCTATTACGACCTAGGATACCAACTTTGGCAATGCACTTATTTGGCACATGACACTCAAACCAATTCTTCTTTTCATCGCAGACAATATTTTAAACCCAAACCTGACCTTTTTGATCTCTGGAGGTTCAAACAACAGCGGAGAGATGGTTCGAAGTTCGAACCATTTCCAGCACTTTCACCACATCTCTGCTGCCACAATCTCCTTCAAAATTGTCATAATAATAAAACCTAAAGTGAACCTCACTCAGTACTGCAAGAACCCTATCAAGCTCCCTATCATGTTCTTTGCTCTCATCATAGAAAACACTCTCAGCACTGCCCTTCTGCTTCCCGAAAAAACAATATGGTGATATGGTCAAGACATTCTCCCTGTCATTCTCAGCCCAAACTGTAGGCGTATCGTCGACAATCAACACAACTCTGGGATGGGATAAAACAATGTCCAACCCCTTTTGCTTCTCGGTGGTGCAATTTTTTCTGGAGAAGATCCTCAAATTGTGATCTCCGAACAATCCCGAGTCCTCAGGGTCGAAAAGCTTCGAAACCCTCTTTGCATATTCAGCACAGCCCATGGTGTAGATAGACAAATCGAACATTCTGTTGGCCTTCTCCAAGAAAGCCCGCACCCCCGGCCTAAGCTTCAGTACCCTAGCACCCTTGTCAAACAAGAACGAATCTTCATACTTGGATTTCTTGAGCAACTCTTTGTCATGAACGGATAGTCTCGAACACCTCACAGAGTGGACCAGAGTATGGTCCAAGTCGAGGACAAGGTGAAGCTTCTTGCGGCTCAGCAAACTCTCCAAGTCTCTGTCACGAACCCCGGCAGTAATGGAGTCCCCATCTGGGGATAAGCAATCCATGTTTAGTGTTTTGCTAAGTATTTGATCCAATGGATCGGAAGATGATAAGTATATTTGAAGGTGCAGATATAGGCCAGGGCTTAATTTGTTTCCTTTTCCTTTTTTGTAAAAGGTTTGTTTAGAACGTTTACTTATATATAGTCCCTAATTGGGCTTCCAACTTTTATTAGGAATGCTATTCGGAAAGTACGTAATATTTGCCACAAAGGCTGAGCAAGTTACTCCTATGGATACTGACATTTTGCCTTGCCGCATAGTGTTTCCTTCTTAGTACTCCGATGTAAATACCTAATACATACTCCCTCCTAGACCTTGGCAAAACAGAACCGGAACCGATTACCCGAATCGAAATATCCGAAACCGAAACCGGAATGACCCGAAAAATGAAGATCCGATCTATAACCGAAAACCCAAAATGATCCGAATCGAATCGAAACCGAACTAAATAATTCATATCCGATTTAAATCCGAAACCGATTAGATCTGAAACTGATAATATCCGAACCGATTAAACTCGAAACCGATTAGATTCGAACCCGATAATACCCGAAACCGATAAAATCTGAAACCGATTAAATCTGAAACCGATAATATCCGAACCCGATTAGAACTAAAATTGATAAATTCGGAACTATGTTTGCCTTTCAATAAGCATATTATATTTTTAAATTTTTACTTTTATTTTACCATTTGAACTAATTACATTACTTGCTCATTCCCTCATAAAATAGATTATCTTCTTGAAAAAAAGTGCAAAATTTTATGCCTTAAATTTATTATATGTAGAAATTAAAGATAAGTTATACATATAAATGATAACACACAAACAAATAAAATTTCTGTAATTTTTAAATAGTGAAGTGTGATATTCTTTTTGGACCGAAAGGAATATATGATGAATTGTATGGGATAACTAGATTTTATCCTAATATCATCTCATTACAATAAATTTTATTGATTTGAGAGTTAATTTGATTAGTTTCAAACCAATTCACTGAATATTAGTCAATAAAATTAGATGCTAGTGTTAGCATTTTGAAAAGACTTTCTAGCGGCAGCCTTTACTGTTATCATTTTCAAATTTGATCTATTAATTATATTTGACTCTATTAAATTTAATTTTCTCTATTTTCAACCAAATATACTCAATAATTTACAAATTTTGCACTCAATTGAATAAAATTCACTTAATTTCATCCAATTTTACTCAATTTTTACCAAATTGTATTCAAATGGAACATAAGACTATTTGAATTTATCTTTTATCCTTTCATTTATATATACATAAGTATATTAGTAGATGTGAGAAAAATTTGATATTTCAAAACTAAATTTTAAAATCAATTTAATTATATTAAATTTATATCATAATTAAATATATATGTTTTCATAATTTGTAGTCCAAATTTGTAAAATATGACTAAAAAGTCAAAAAGGGAAGATTATTTAGGGTAGAGATAATGTAACTAGAAAAAAATATAAAATAATATGAGGTATTGAATTGATGATAGATTGATAAATGTGATAAAACATAAAAAGAAACACGGATAGTTAAATTTTAATTAGAAAATAATATGTTTCCAAAATATATTTGATCCAAAACCGAAATATATCCAAACCGAACTAGACCCAAAACCGAAATATATCCGACTCATATTCTATCCGAATCGAAATCTATCCGAACCGATTTATAACCGAACCGTGTCTGAACCGACTCGAAACCGAACCGAACCGAAAAATGTATAGAACCGAAATCAAATCTGAACCGAAATTTAACCGATCCGAAGCGAACCAAACCGATTATAATATATAACCGAAAGATATCCGAACTGAAAAAATCCAACCCGAAACCGATCCGGTTGATCCGATTGCCACCTCTACTCCCTCATTTCTCAAAAATACTTCCTCTTTCATATTTTCTACTCCCAACAAAACACTTCCACTTTCTATTAAAAAACCACTTTTACCCTTACTTTTTCATACTTTATCTATCACATCATATTTTTTCTCTAATAATCTATCTATCACTTCTAATTACTTTTACCCATCACATCAATGGCAAAATTGGAAGTCAACTACAATTTAACACGTCCTTATTTTTACACTTTGTCAAACTAGGAACTCTTTTTTAGAACGGAGGGAGTACTTTTTTTAATCTCACTTAAGTTGTTTGTGGTTGTTCACTGACTTTATTTATTTTTAAATGAATTTATATGAAAATTAGAGTAAAATAAAAAATAAAGTTTATACTTTCAAATAAATCAAAAGGTTTTTCAAAACAAGATGCCATAGTTTAACCTCATAAATACTCACTCCGTCCTAAAACGTTCTTTTAAGTTATTATTTACACGATCAAATTTTAATCACATTCTGTACCTCTTTCCGTTAGTTATTTGATAAAATAATAAAGTCTTGTCACCTCTTGTGTTGTAGAACTTTTGATGTAGTTTTTAAACATATAAATTTTATTTTTTAATTTTACACCTATAATCAAATAAATTAAATTGAAAATAAAGTCGGTCAAATCTCGTAAACATAAATGAGAAGAATGTTTTAGGAGGAGAGAGTAATAAACAAGCAATTTAAATTGAGATGAAAAGAGTATTAGATGACACAAATTATCACATCTTGTGTTTTATGCCAAAATATATAAATATTAATAAATTTAAATATTAATTTATATTACTTTTTTTATACACTTTTAAGATTTTTAAATTAAAATAGTATGGAGTACTTAATTTTATTGTCTAGGTCTTTATTTAACTTGCTTATGAATTTTCTAAAAAAGTTCATATTGAATTTATTAATTATTTATACACGTTAACAAATTAAATTTTTTTAGGTTTATAGTTGACAAAAAAATTAAGTTGACTTAATTATCTTTGAAAAATATTGGGGCCCCTCTAATTATGAATTCCTCCGTTCATAAATAAAGTTCTCGTTACACATTACGATGTTTAACTCAAAACTGGTGTGAAATTATGTTAAATCATTTTATATAAAAAATGGTATGAAATTTAAAAATAAAAATTACATATTTAAAAATTAAATGAAAAGATTTACAAAACTAAACTAGGTGTGATATGACGATATTATCTTATCAAATATGACATTAAAATAGGCTAACAAATTTAATAAACTTTGATCCTATGAATAGTGAACGAGAACCTTATTGTTGGAAGGATGAGTATTTTTTAACCATAACAACCCGGATAGCCATGCTAGTTCAGTAGTGACAAATGGAAATTGTAAGTCTTTCCCCGCACTGCTAAGTCTCGCCTCATAACATTGAAGTCTGACCCCACAAACCAACACAAGTTTTTCCCGCACATTTTTTCTTAACTGTTGCACGCCCAAGCTAGAAACTTTACAGGGGATCACCCATCTTAGAATTCCTCCAAGTCAAACACGCTTAAATTTGGAGTTTTAAGTGACGAGCTCTCGAAAAGAAGATGCACCTTGTTGGTATGACTAGTACTCTCAATCTATCTTTTTGAGCTTTTTGTCTTCCCTATCCATTTATTTTCAAATCAAGATATTACTTTAAATTGTTTCTTTTTCACAAAAATGTCATGTCTTTTATTTTCTTTCATTAGTTCCATCGAAGTCTCTAAAATATTCAAAACAAATAGAAATAATTTTTTATTTCTCAAATATTTGAGTGATATCTTTGTGAAAAAGACATAAAAAACATGACATTTTTCACAAAGAAGACATATCTTTTATGTCTTTTCGAAATAAGAAAACAAGAAGATTAATTTTGGATAGGGAAGAATATACTTTTCTTTTTCTTCTTTTTCTTTTCTATTCTTTTTTCTTTTATTTTAATTCTGATTAAAATAAAAGAAACTTTATAAAATTATTTTATTTACAAAATCAAGAAAAGATAACAATTAAAAAACCAGAAAATGAAAATAAAATGTGAAATGAGCTTCAGTGCAAAAAATGCTTCATTGATTTCTGTATTATGAAAATGAATAATAAGGACCTATTTTGGAAAAAATGAAAACATTTAATTTAAGACAAATGACTTGTACGTTAGTTCTTTTTATTTAATTGATTTTTATTTTAAACACACAAAATTTAGATTATTAAAACATTATAGAGTATAAAAATAATTTTAAAAAACATTTATGAAAAAGAAGAAAATAACAAAAATAGTAAAGAAAAAATGAGATGGGTGTTACATTGGTGTCCATTTCCAAAACCATAAAGGGGAAAGGTATACAACCTTTCTCATAACCTTTTTATTGCATCATCTCTCTCTTCTAGGGGTGTTCATTCGGATATATCTGATCCGATCCGGTCCAGTTTTTTGGATATTCAAAATTTTTGGATCGGTAAATAACTACTAAATATCTAATCCATGTCCGATCCGGAAATTACCGGATACCCAAATTTCGGATATCGGGAATTCTATATCAGATTAATGGAATATCCGGAAAAAAATTATAGTTATTTTTTTTTGAATTTTTATTTTTTCCAATCATTCTAAAAAACTATTTAGAATGGTCTTTTATTTGTTAAAATAATAGAGGTCATAAATTAGACTTGAATTTGAAGCGTGCAACACAGACAATTATCATATCGTCTGTGTTTGTCTATGCGAAGCATGGGTGCACCCATGGTAGCACCCATGTGGTGGCACCCTAGTATGGTCCATTTTAAAGGAAGAAGTGGAGATCTAGACTCACCATCATAGTCGCTGCCACCATTGCTTCCGCCACCATTGTCGTCATGCTCAAATCTAGAAGAAAGATGAAAGAAAAGTAAGAGGGAGGAGATAAAGAAGAACAAAAATGAATGGACAAAGAGGAGAGGAGGAGATAAACGAAGGAAGAGAGAGACGAGGGGAAAGAAGAAGAAGAAGAAGAAGACGAAGAAAATCGAGAAGACGAAAGAAAAAAATAGTGGAAATGGAGGAGAAACACGAGAGGAGAAGAAAAAGAAAAATGAGGAGAAGACGACGACAATGGCAAAGCAAAAAAAGAAAGAAAGAGAAGAAGGGGAAGAAAAGGAAGATAAGAAAGAAATAAATGAAGATGAGGGTATTTTAGGAGGATTTAAGAAAAAAGTTAGCATGTGAAGATTAATTCCGGATGTA